TGGGTACGTGAAAATAAAGTATGTCAACTGTCTGCTTTATTTTGCTCACCCTGTTTAAAGCAATTTTGCAGATATAGTTATATATTGATCTAAGCCTTAAGGTAAAAGATTCTCATCTAAGAAGAGCATGGAGATGAACACAATGTCCAGGAAGCATTTCACTTACATCAAACTGAGCCAGAACAGTTCCAGTGATGAGCCCTTCAGCTAGCTGGAACATCGATTCTCTCAGAGCATTGTCATCTTGGTGGATACCATTTAGTGGGGACTTCTCAGGGATGTACTGGAAGTCAGGTTCACTCTCCAGCTTCTCTTCTACTACATCATAAACAGCTACAATAAACCATAATAAAATTACTGAGAAAGGGTCCATTTCTACACAAGTTTAGATTGCTGCAGCATTGAATATTCTTCATGACACAATCATAGTTAAGCTTTCTGGGGGGGAAATAAAGATTTCTCTTTTACGAAGAGATCTTTGCAGTATTTATTTTTAAAATATTCTACTTCTTAGCTATTGTTTACGGTGACTGTAGCTTCAGAGCATGGCATAAAAAGGTCAATGCTGCAACCACTGAAGGCAAGATTGAGGATGAATCAACATTAACCACTGCTATTAAGTAACATTGATTTTCAACTGTGCTCTGTGAAAACAGAAACATTCTATATAAGATAAATCCCCAAAATAGTTGAGAAAGTGTTCTCTCGCTACAGATAATAGTTAAATGATGTTGACCTATGACTCCACAAATGCCAAGGGTGTAAGAACTAAGACCCCCACATGCCAGCTCCATAATGATGGCGTCATTCTCCAACTCAGAGAGAAAGCTGTCTGCTGATCTTCCTGGCATGGTGCAATCGCATGGAGAAAAAGAGAGAGAGAGAGAGGGGCTCCGCAGCTATTTCCAAAGGCCGTTACGGCTGCCGCTAAACTCCCTCTAAAGGACAGAAGGTAGAGACAAATGGAAGAGGAAATTTTGGTAGCAGAACACAAGCAGAAAGGGTAAAAAAGAGCAGGAAAAGTGAAAGTAGCTAACTCAAGGGTTGGAGGCAAAGCCTACAACGACCTCTGCCTGTAGAAGCAGGAAAAGAACTGAAAAGGAGGCATTCCCACTCCACAGGAAGAGGAAGAAAGATTTGGTTCCTGTCTCTCCCTGATAGGATGGTGGGAATCATCCAAGATGTCCTCTGTCTCAGAGAGAGAACACCTTTTTCGCCAAGCACCTTTCCCAACAACTGACTGAGGGACAACTACTCCCTTAGGTCACTATAATACCACAGCTTATAAATGTTTTGGGTACGTGAAAATAAAGTATGTCAACTGTCTGCTTTATTTTGCTCACCCTGTTTAAAGCAATTTTGCAGATATAGTTATATATTGATCTAAGCCTTAAGGTAAAAGATTCTCATCTAAGAAGAGCATGGAGATGAACACAATGTCCAGGAAGAATTTCACTTACATCAAACTGAGCCAGAACAGTTCCAGTGATGAGCCCTTCAGCTAGCTGGAACATCGATTCTCTCAGAGCATTGTCATCTTGGTGGATGCCATTTAGTGGGGACTTCTCAGGGATGTACTGGAAGTCAGGTTCACTCTCCAGCTTCTCTTCTACTACATCATAAACAGCTACAATAAACCATAATATAATTACTGAGAAAGGGTCCATTTCTACACAAGTTTAGATTGCTGCAGCATTGAATATTCTTCATGACACAATCATAGTTAAGCTTTCTGGGGGGGAAATAAAGATTTCTCTTTTACGAAGAGATCTTTGCAGTATTTATTTTTAAAATATTCTACTTCTTAGCTATTGTTTACGGTGACTGTAGCTTCAGAGCATGGCATAAAAAGGTCAATGCTGCAACCACTGAAGGCAAGATTGAGGATGAATCAACATTAATCACTGCTATTAAGTAACATGGATTTTCAACTGTGCTCTGTGAAAATAGAAACATTCTATATAAGATAAATCCTCAAAATAGTTGAGAAAGTGTTATCTCGCTACAGATAATAGTTATATGATGTTGACCTATGACTCCACAAATACCAAGGGTGTAAGAACTAAGACCCCCACACACAGTAAAAGGGGGTCCAGGTTTTTATGGAATGATTTTATCCAGCTGAGGAATGTGTGCCAATGAAAAGAACTCATATAGTCCAATAGTATGGACAATGCCACTTCCTCCTAAGGAAGTACACATCACGTATTTTTTGTCTTGCTTTTGAGCTACCATGCAACAGAAAACTTTCTTGCCAATTATCACTTTAAGCAGTTACCCTACATCCATGATTAAACACATACTTAAATTTTACTGACTAATTTATGAATAAGCATGTGTGTTGAAATACTGTCAGCAAACAGCTATGTTTACTGACTATTTTGGTTTACCAAAGGCAATAGAGAGGTTGTAACATAAAGGAAAAAGAATCAGGGCACTTGAAATTGCTCCACTTTAATCAATTAGCAAAAGGTTTCTCCATCCAATTATTTGTGTTAATTTATGTATTTTGAGTTCACCTTTTCCTCTGCATCTCAGTCAGAGAAAATAAATTATTGTAGGTATTTTGATTTAACTAGCCAAACTAAGTGTGTTGAATACAGTATTAGTTTAAATAAAAGACCCTGAAATGTAAAATTTAATGGAAGCCATAATTTCCTCCTCCACACTTTTTACAGTTTCATTTTTGTTCCAAGCACTGCTAACAAAATGTGTTTGTTTTCAGCAAACACTGTCTGGCACATATGTGTATAGCACATGTTGTATCCAGACAGGAAATGCATAGAGGGCAATGGATCACAGCATGCATTCTAGTGAAAAACTATTATCTGACCTTGATTAACCCTCTCACCCCTGGATAAAGTAAAGCCAAACTCTTATGATGGCATGAAGGAGAATGCTAGAGGAGGCCAACAAGCAGAGTGTTACTGTGCTCCAGTTGCAAACAACTACTGCTATAATTAGGCCTTTTGAAAAGTTTCAGAGAAGAAAAGCATGATTACATTGGAATAAATAATAAATTCTTTATTAGAATGACCAACTGACAAGAACATAGGCCCTATTCACTCAAATTGGCTGTTGAATGGAAGCAAGTAAACAGTGGATTTGCCAATGGATCTGCACTGCGACTGGTGATATTTGACTTATGGTTTTATATAGAACAGCAGTGGGGCTGCAAGTTTGAATACTGTGTATAATTCTGGCTTCAAAAAAAAAAAGCACTGAATAGCTGGAAAAGGGCAACCAAAACAATGAAAGAGTTAGAACACTTGCATAAAAAGCATACGAGTCTTTAGTTTAGGAGGAGTCGTGCGAGATCAGATCAATGTTCCATCTGTTCCAGCACTATGTCTTACACAGTAGTCAACCAGATGTTCCCAGAAGGCTTACAAGGAGGGTACAGAAGCTAAAGCCTTTCC